GAGACCCAATCACGATTTCTAAGGAGATTACAAACATTAAAGGTGGGGTAGGTCATTTTGGAGAAACCAGCTTGAGTGCGCTAGAATTTGAAAATACACAGCCGGAAGAAATCTGCTACACAAGATCTTTTCTCTGGAATAATACTTTCAAATGTTCCTCTATGTCTTTGAAACATTCAAAAAGATTCTCCATAATTAAAACAAAGTGAGCTGAAGCTGCGAAGGAAACTGGGTCACAGCAGCAGCGACGAACACGAGCTGGCCTGCAGGGATGCTCCAAGTTAACGAAGGCTACGAATAAATTACCAGACACCAAACTTATTATTACACCATGTTTACGAGCACTGACAAACAACTCCTGCTCCCAATGCATACACTTCTGACTTCCCAACAGGACTCATCTGCCACCCTGTGTGCAGGAAAGTGGGTAAGTAACCACAAAGTGTCTCTCTTTGTCTGTACATGTGACGGGACACGTCCTAATGGGCTGCAGAGGGAACAGAAAAGTGCTGCTGATGAGGAGGAGGAGAATCTCTCACAACAGGCTAAACAACAATGGGTGAAATATCAATTTGAAACAGACACAAATGAAAGAAAAAGAGACATTTTAAGATGGTTAAAATAAGCTTTGAATATACATTTCATTAAAGTAAGTCTCTTGTAATGTTATGTATGGCTTTATACAGTGACTGAGTTTAACGCAGCAGATACGTTTTGATCACAGCCAATCAATGTTTCAGGCTGCTGCTGTCAGCTTCATGATTATTGATAATAGTAGAGGTTTGTGATCAATTTCATTTGACGATTTCCAGATTTGTATTGGTACACGGATCCCTGCGTAGCTCCTGCATATTAGTGCAGATGCTGGTGTGTGTGTGTGTGTGTGTGTGTGTGTTAGCACCAGTGAGTCTTCAATGAATGATCAAATATATCCAATAGCACATTGGAGTTAGAAGTTACTACATTTATCATAACTCTACTTAACATTGATTCTAGTGAAGAGAAGCTTAAGTCAATTGGTCGGCCTGAAATTATACTTATAAATTCATTAAAGCACTGTTTTTGTCCAAATTGCAGCGAAATACCTCAAATATGTAGGAACTGTAAGAGAAAGGCAACACTTTTTAATGTCAGGTTGCTACAGAACAACTCAACATTTCCAGTTGCTATCGCTATAAGGTGTAAAAAAGAACACTGCTGATGTTTCAGTTCAGTTTTGATGCTGCGATGAGCTTCATAAGCGAGATAGCAGCACATGGGTCCTGGTGCAACTAAATGGGTTGCAGCCATTTTTAAAGACTGTAACAAATAAAAATGTCTCATAGTGGAAAACCTACAGCTTTTAAGAGCCCGACACTAACGTTAGATGTACTGCCAACATATAAAATGTATGATAATTCTGTCTATACTAGCACAAAACGCTACTTGATAGAGCTCTAACACTACAGAACCACACAGAGCTAATTGTTGCTAATGTTCAGTAAAGCCTATGTAATGCTAGCTGTAATAAAATAATATATAAATGAGCATGCACATGAAGAAAACACCTATCTTCTATTTCAAATTGCTAATCATATTAATAGAGTAACGTCCTGGAACCATATTTTAATTATATATTTAATCAATTTTTTATTTTACATTGATTGTCTCCACGTCAATTTCAAGTCAAACTTTAGGTCTAAATACTTCATAGATTTTAAAATAAAAGTGTTTCATATGTACTGTAACTAATGTATGTGTTACCTGATATATTTTAGAGTCTGGAGTCAATGCTAAAACGACAGATGCAAAATAATAAAATATACTTATAGGATTTCCTCAGATACCAAACTTTACTGGTGTACTAATTTGGGTTGATTGCAGCACATCATTTGGCTCTAGTGCAAAGTGTGATTATATTTATATTAACTATGGCACATTTAAAGTCAAATCTTATCAGACATATAATTCACCTGCGCAGATATGACCACATGATTACTACAAAGACGATGTTATCATCCAAAAGCTGTGCAACTGACCCTCTATCGATCCCAAGAAATGTTGACTAATACTTCACATCTGGATAAAATGGGTTATACGTAGCAAACCGAAAACGTGTTTGCAGCTCGTTTGGGATCTTGTAGTTTACTGAATTAATACCTCCTACATTTTTCTACACTTTAATACAGGGATGTCAAACTCAATTTTATCGCGGGCCACATTGGAATTATGGTTGCACTCAAAGGGCCGGTTGTAACTTTAAGACTATAAATATTTAATATATATAAAATAATGTATTATATTACATTATTGCCTCTGCATTGGATTGTTACCGGATAGGGTAATAACTTCATAATTCACTACGTCTGAAAGCAGAAGTCTAGGGCAAATAATTGCAAGTCTCTTCGGTGAGAATGTCACAAAATGATTTAAAAAGAAAAGCCAAATTCTGTAGAAAAAGTCAACAAAAAAGAAAAGTGAAATTTGGGGGGAAAAAGTAACATTTTGAAAAAAAGCAACGTTTTGAAAAAAAAATCTAATTCAGAGAAAAAGTCAAATTCTAAGAAAAAAGGCATATTTTGAAGAAAAAAAGGTAAATTCTGAGAAAAAAAGTCATATTTGAGATGCATTGTGGGACATGTAGTTTATGGGCAACGTGCTTCTGTAAATCGGCATGTAACCGTATAATAAACATATTATATTGTCTCAGAGCTCGTGTGGGCCACAGAAAATGAAGTCACGGGCCGGTTTTGGCCCCCGGGCCTTGAGTTTGTCACCCCTGCTTTAATACGACCCACAGAAGAGTCTCTACCAGCAGGAGATCAACACGTCCTTATTTTTTAAACATAACGGTCACATTTTAAACATGTGGTTAAAGTTGTGAAAAGGTCTAAAATCATGATTTTTATTAAAAACAATATTAAAGCCTCTGTAAATGACATTATGTACGTGCCACTATGTAACTTTTCTTTAAGGGAAATGGACAGAGGTTTCTCTGGGAACATCATGTTTGTTTCTCCATTCATATTATCCACGACCACTAGAGGTCGTCGCCGAAGTGTCCTAATAAGCAGCTTGTACTAAAGACCATAAGGTGGGTTCGTTGGTGGAGGACAGTCGGGTATTTTCACATCATATACTGCAGCATCAATCGTGTAATTTATGTGACAACGACTGAGCAACCAGGAACCTAACCTCGGTGTAACACAACTATCAGAACCATATCTCAATGTATTTTGGTGCGTACTGCCTCGTAAACATTTGATGTTGTCATTAATAGCAGTTATTGCATCTTGATCCTCTTTCATAATGAACAATATCAAATGTTAAATGACTGATGTTGAATAACCTATTCCCTAAAAAGCAACATTTGATGTGTCTCCATAGAACTGACATGCTCGCAGCAACAAGACCATTCAATTTGTTAATTTCCTACAGCTCTGAGACGACCAGAAAAACACACAGTTGTGAAAAACTATGAAGTGTGATCGAGGCGTTGGCTTGAATTAACATTTTGAGGATTTGGTGGCAAAGGGGCGTTGGTATAAAGTGAGTATTACTGTCTAGAAAGCTGCTATCAATCAAAAGAAACAAATGAAAAGGATATATAGAAATAAAGGAGGACAATCAAAATAACACACTTTCAAGAGAGACTTAGGTGGACCTGCATTTGACAGCTTTTTACAAATAAGACGTGCATTTTCTAAATCTTGAACTCTGGTCAGTTTTGAACGGGGAAAATAAACTATTTTAAGTTTCTTTTGAAAAACCTAAAACATCCCTTGACTTGTGTTGTAAACCTTTGTGTCGTCGCGCTGCATATAAAACTTTGGATCAGAGCCTTTCACTTCGTGTTCATTTACTGTAAGTAATCAGCCTTTCACTGGTTAAACCCTCACACTCAATATGAGTTTACACACACGGGGAGATTCTCGTAGCACATCTGGAAACAAACGTATTGCTTTTTAATTTACACATTGCGAGAAGAAGCTAAACGGCAAGCTGCTGTATGACGAAAAATATGTAGATATACGTTTGAGCGTACGGCTAAAAGATGACTCGATTAAATTGTCAGATTTTTCCTGCTTACAAAAAAAAGACATTTGCTCGACGGCTGTCAGAGACTTTCTTTAACTTGGCACAGCGACAGGAGAATAATACCTTCCGTCTTACTTGGCAATGAGGTTTTTCTCCCCTTCATCTTTCTCTTAATTCACTTGGCACTGAATCAGAAGGATTATTTATTCAATTCCTTCTTTCTTTTGGAAGGGAAGTAGGAAGAAGGGTGTCGAAGATTCAGAGTTACACACACAGAGATAAAGTGTAGAGGAGTGACAGCATAAAGAACATAGATCTAGGAAATGGGAAGAAGACACAAAGGGCTCCACTGTTGGACTTCTGTCCGCTCCTTCATCATCATCACCTCCTCAGAGGGGAAGACAGAGTATGTTTACATGAACTGTTGGGATTATACTGAATGATCCCAGCTTGATTTGAAGTGTGATCATACATGCAGACCAAGCTTCACTCTTCTGAAACGTGACAGTATTTCTGTTTTTAATCCACAACCTTATGTTTGACCTAACCACACCCCTTAGGTGTTATAGGGATCATTTCCGTAACCCTACATTAACAGCAACATTAATCTGCTTTCTGCCTTTCCTGTCAACCACCAAAACTGAGCAATGAGGCCAAACATTTAATTCTAAAAGTTTGCAGAAGTTTCTCTTAGGTCCAACTGAACCTGTTATTGTCAATTTTTGTGTACGAATTTTTTTTTGGACATATTTATGAAGTATTTACTATAAGTGTCAGCTGGAAAAAAATCATCTTGATTTAAATATTTTAACGTAAAGAGTGAAACGCATACCTAACTATTCAGCTAGGAAAATAGCAGCTAGTTGTTGCTATGCTATATGCACATATCTAATTAAGCTAAAACGCATTCATTTGGTGCACAATCGGCCTCTTTCTGTCCAAATAAACCGTTACACCTCGTTGTCAAGACCTGTTGCTCATTATTTAATAATGTTGTTTATTTTTCTCTGGTTTTGTTGTTCTTGTTCGAAAGCAATACATAGATGGACGAATCAGCGCTTGGTCTACATGTGGGACGGAATCAGAAGTTTGTACAGATTTCTTTCCCAATCTCATTACCATGTTTATGAAGATAATAACATATTAGATTGATTTGAAATAAATCAGGTTGTTATTCAATATGATCACATAAAGATATTGCCTTAACGCTCATCACTATGGTGTGCATGTAAACATACTCATACCAACTTTCATCCTGATGTCCTTTTATTACCTTTGAGGACTCTTGCAGCTGTGTGTGTGTGTGTGTGTGTGTGTGTGTGTGTGTGTGTGTGTGTACTGTACATATTAGGCACCAGGGTTCTCCCTAAAACTGGAAACAGGGGAAGCACTTCAAGTGTTTTTCTCTCTGACACTGACTTTAACTCAGGTGCCACAAGTGTAGAAAACCTCAATGTGCATGTGGACCTGCAGAAGCCTGCTTTAACTCAGCCTCTAAGTATACTTAGCACCAAGCTAGTAAGCATGATTGTTGTACATATTTTGCTATGAAATCTACATCAAACTATGTTCTTATTTCTGGCAATTTGGCGCCACAAGAACTTCCTCTGAGGTCAAACTAAGCAACACTTCTATCCTCTTTTTTACTCCACTGGTTCATGCTAGCTGCTGCTTTCACTCCCTCCAGTGTTTCAGAACATTAGGGTGCAAGAAGATTGTTGAAACAAGAACAATAACCAGTGATAAGGAGAACCCTGGTAGCAGTATGCAGGGACGGTCAACAGAAGACAGAGCAGGAGACAGAATCAAATGACTCCACTCACAGAATAAACTCTGGCTCATGAACAAACCCTTTCAGAGTTTCGTCCCACCAGAGGAGTCTTCAGTCCTTCGCTCCGAACAGTTTGGTGTGATGTGGTGAGGACATGCTGTGACAACACACCCTGCTCAGACAGAGTCCTCCAGCGCTACCTGCTGATGTTTGGATGCTATCGTGGTGATGTTTTGTACGGCCCCGGAGCATATTGTTGGTTCGAGTGCTGCAGCCGTCTGCCTCGGGCTCGGGAACAGCGGGGTCATGGCTTCATGCTCGGACAGGGGAGGGGAAAACTGTTAAAGTCCACGTTCAAACCCAAACTAGGAGACGAGGGAAGAGAGGAGGTCTGAGTTTGATCTCAGAGACTGTCCGGCGTGCTGACATTATGCACAAAAATGCAGACTCATTGCTGACGTTCAGCTGAGTCACTGCGGACCGAAGCAGGTTTGAACGTCGTCTCCAGGTGGGTCAGAGTCAGTCCTGTTGGTTAAAAGCTGCAACGCAACTCGTACTGTCCAACACAGGAGGTCGTTTTTTCTAATATGAAAATTTGACGCCAAAACAAAAGAGTAAAATTGGATCTGCAGCAAAGCTAGCTTCATGGTTTTCTTTTATAAGGTTCTTATTGTTCACAAGAAATTGCAATCAACCTCGGACTTTAATTTTCTGAACAAACAAGCCTTCAAACTGAAACTGTGATGACTTTGTTTTTACCCCACAAGTGTCATTTTCTTGCTTTTTCATGATCAAAAGGGCAGAAAAATAAAGAGACAGAGACAGCCATGGAGGATATTTTGGGGGGGGGGGGGGGTTTGTAATCACCCCCTCGATTTACCGAAGAGTCGGGGTGAGGCAGGGGATTGGCTCACGGTCGCCCCTGGTTACCTAGAGGAGGGGCTACTGCACTCGGAGGCGGGGCAACAGAACTGATGGGCGATGTCGTCGTCTTCCTCCTCTCTGAGAGACAGACAGACAAACAGACGAGAGACAAAGAGAGAGAGGAAGAGGAGCAGGAGAAGAGGAAGAGGAGATGAAGAAAAGCAGGAAAGTAGAAGTAGAGAGTACAAGGGAGAATGAGAGAGGATGAGGAGCAGGAAAGTAGAAGAAGAAGGAGAGAGGAAGAGGAGCAGGACAATAGAAGACGATATTAATCGGAAGAAGGAGAAGAAGATAACGTATGGTTGAAGAAGAATAGGGTAAGAAAGGAGGGACGACAAGAAGAGCAGTGTGGTGATGGGGTTTTTAGTGTAGAGTTGCAGTACTGCAGCAGGCCACCAGGTGTCAGTGTTTACACATCTCTAAATGTAAAGTGACCTTCTGAGTTTGACTTTGTGTGGCGGAGGTGAAGCAGCGTTCCTCCATCGCCTCGATTCATCTCACAATTAATAAAGTCACTCAACTCACTTCTTGTTTCTTGCTTAGGGGACGGGACAGTGAAGAGGCACGATGGTGTGATATGGTTGATGGAGGAAGCGAGACCATTTTGAGATTTATTGCGAAGAATGCAAATGCAACATTTATTTCTAGTCTTATAACTTTTTCTTATTTACTCCTTAAAGTCACTTTTGTTATACTTATATATGATTTGAACAAACAAGTTTAGCAAATATTACTAATAATTCAACCTTTTTAAAGCAGATATACATCTCAGTGCTGTATCAGATGTATCATTGTGCTTTTAAAGACACTGTGGCTGAACACAGCTCATGCATTATAATATAATAATACTGATTTCACAGACAAGTGTCTAGAGTTTTTATCACTTTACATTTTTAGAAAATTCAGTGTTAAAAATATTGTATTAATCTCAAGGTTCAAGGTTCTTTATTTAGTCATACGTGCATAGCTACAGTGTAGTTATGACGATGAACATCTTGTGTCACAGGCTTCTCCAACAGAGCAATACAAAACACAGATAACAGAACAAATATAGTGCAAGTAAATAGTAATACAAAAGAAAAATAGTTTTAAAAAGTGAAATATTGTATTAATCTCTCTGATGATCTCAGTTAAAAGTGATGCTGCTGAAGAATGAGAGGTCATGTCACCAGCAGCATGTTAGTCACGTGCAGCATCCCTCTGTGCAGTGTGTGTGTGTGTGTGTGTGTATTTATGCACAACACCCTCTGAAAATCTCCCTCCCGCTGGTGACTCACCCACTCTCAGCCCTAACACACTCATACACACACACACACACACACACTCATACACACACACACACTCATACACACACACACACACACACACACACACACACACACACACACACACACACACACACACACACACACACACACACACACACACACACACACACACACACACACACACACACACCACACAACACACACACACACACACACACACACACACATCACACACACACACACACACACACACACACACACACACACACCACACACACACACACACACACACACACACACACACACACACACACACACACACACACACACACACACACACACACACATTCAAATAGCAGGAGTCTCTTGTGATTAAACTATTTACCCTCCATCTTTAAGAGGAGCTGAACATATTGAGACTTTTATAAAGTGTTTTAACATTTTAGTTTTTCAAATACGTTTTTAATAAATTGTATTTACTTTTGTTGAATCAACTGTTGATCTTTATTTTTTTTTAATTTTAAATGTGATTCAGGTTACAGTTTCTACTTGTAATATGATATTTTTTGTTGAACTGCTGAACAAAACGTGATCCGTCTCTTGAATGTGTTTCAACCACAGACCTTATTTCGAGCTATTTTCCAAAATCCTATGGAGAAATTGCGTTGCGTTTTGTCGAAGGAACCGGAAGGAGTTTACTTCCGGGTTTTAGGATGCGTCCCTGTGGCACTCTATACACATTTAGTTTAGCGTGAAATTTGATTAAATAATATTGAAAACACGGTTGTGTTAATGTGTATTTATAAAGGGGGGGAAATGTTTTGTTTTTGTATTAAAGATCACTTCAAGATGCATCTCTGCCCTCTGCTATAGCAGCATAACCAAATCTGTAACTATAATATTATACAGTTCCTTTGTTATTTCTTTTAAATAACTTGCATTTCTGTGGAGCAACATTGTCATAGAGTTTATTTTATTTGATCAGGATACCTTTAGAAACTACCACATGCAGCAGGAACACCTGAAATGAACACCTGCATAACCAGCAACTAGAATTAAAGAATCTAATTCAAAACAAGTAATAAAACCTATTTTAATAATGCCAGCGTCGCGTTATTGGTTCTTATATTGGCCTGTTTATGGTGATTGGCTTCAAGATGGTTTGTTTGAGAGCAGCATGGAGGATGTGGGGGAGAGCGGGATGGAGAGAGAGAGAGAGATGGTGTTCAGGGGAGAAGGTGGAGGAGAGAGGAGCGACTGGAGCAGCTGCTTCACCTTCAGGATTGATTCATGTGTGTGTGTGAGAGAGAGAGAGAGGGGTAACATAATATAACAGGTTATTACAGCACTAAAGAGGGAGGCAAGGAGGGGGAGAGAGCAGGTGAGGCTTCATGTGACGATAAAATGCATTGAGAGCGAATTTGACAAACTAGAGAGTTCATTTTGACAACAGGAAAGCTAAGGATTCTTTTTTGTAAGTTGAGACAACAGTCTATGTCATATGTTCATGTTCATAATCTAAATGCAGAGATTTAGGACCCGAACATTAGTTGATGAATTGATCAGGTCGTATTTCAGGATATGTAGCGTCTATTTTGTAATAATGACAAAAAATCAGGTATTTTTGCAAGACCTAATATCAGCAATCAATCAAACAAAAGTTCCCAGAAATGTTTGCCTTTTTTATTTTTTAAAACCGTGTTAAAGTTATTTAACATTATGAATCCAAGATGTGGATATGATCTTCATTTTTTGGCAGATTACAAACCAATTTGAGAGACCTACTTTACCAGAGTTCGTAGATTCTACCCTCAAGTCAATAAAAGCAATTTGGTTCCCTATTGTTACTCGATCATTTATGGGCTATGATTTATTATCAGCCTCAAACATAAAAATATACATTTCCCATTATTGGCCTTTAGTGTATAGGCCTGATATATATGTAGTGCATCCCGCGGTTAACATCTGTGTCTTTTGTCCCGATGGTATCATTTGGATGAAACATTAAAGGTGGGGTAGGTAACTTTGGAGAAACCAGCTTGAGTGCGCTAGAATTTGAAAATACACAACCGGAAAAAATCTGCCACTTCCTTACAGAGCCCCTCCTCCAACACACACGAACGCGCACATGACCAATGAGGGCACGAGATAAGTTTGTGCACAGATGGAAGGCTGACAGGCAGGTAGGCCATCCAGTTACTTTAGCCGGGCCGGCTCAGATGATTGGTCGTGCTTTTTACAGCGCCACGGCTTCCACAGATGACATTTATTAATGGATTTGTTGTCAAAGCACTTTAAGATATTCATTGCTATCGGGATGTTAAGAGCATTCCATGGAATATAACAACAAGTGTATCTCGAGCCGGTTTCTCAAACTTACCTACCCCACCTTTAAGTCAGACTCATCAAAAAGCTGAAAACATCAGTTTGCCATGTTAACATAACAAGCAACCATAAAAAAAATCAGGTGTGTTTAGAAATCATGACGTGTGTTAAATTCGCTCTCAATGCATTTTGGGGTCACTGCTCTACCTGCTGGACAAGGTCTGAGGGAGGCTACCAGGGGCAGTGTGGAGGGTGGAGGCAGAGCGGGGGTAAGTGGGTGAGGCTGGGTGAAGGGGGACTCTGGCCCTTACCTTGCCTGCTCGTGGTGCTTGGCGGGGGGCAGGGCGCAGGGAGGCTTGGGCAGGCGGAGGCGCGCGGGACAGCAGTACTGATGGTAGGTGGCGTGGCTGTTAGGAGGTAGGCTGGAGGAGTAGAGAGAGGAGGAAGAGGAGGAGGAGGTGGAGGAAGGAGTGGTGATGCTAGTAGGGTTGTTGGAGGAACGACAAGAGGTGTTGGTAGTAGAACAGGTAGTGGAGGAGGAATAAGACCTGACAGAAAGAGATAGAAAGAGAGAGAGAGAGAGAAAGATGAGAGCGGGGGCAGAGGGAGAAAGAGAAAAAAGAGAGAAAAATAAAGTCAAGAGAGAAACAGAGAAAGGTAGACAACAACAACAACAGACAGGCACACATAAACAAACACCATTAGCACAGTTAGCATTACAGCACACTATCAGCATTAGCTTAGCACACAGTATTAATAGCAGCATGTAGCAATTAGCACACAAGTATGGCTAGTGGTGTTAAAGCAAAAAGCACATTTAATTTTATAAGCGTTAGCTTAGCACACAATAAAAAACAACAGCATAGCAATTAGCATACAACTAACACTCTTAGCTTTATCTTACCACGTTAGCATAACCTTAATATAAATGGCAGACAAAAGTTAGTATATAGTCTTAAATTCTCATACTTTACCAGCATACAACATTAACAATCACAAGAGTTAGCTTAGCAGTTCGAACACACAATATCTTAGCTTATGGTTACACACATTCAATGTCGGCCGTTAGCACTAGCAGTTAGCATCACAGCAGTACATGTATAGTGTACAGTGAGTCAGGAGGGGGAGGATGATGCACACATAAAGATAGTTTACTGAACTCTCAGAGGGACAGGGGAAGGCCTAATGGTATCCTTAGGTCGTATCCTGCATGCTAACGCTGATGAGCTGTTTCTCTATATGGCTCTTTCATTACCAAATGACAGTCTTCCAGTGTTAGGCTGCTTTTTACTGACTGTCTCATCCAGACTAGATACAGGACCATGAACGGTGCCCTCCTCGATGTCTGTCATGGGCCTTGACTGAACCTGCGACCTTGCAGCTAAAGGATGGTCTCGCTAACCGCTGGCTGAACCCTGTCACCAGGCTGATTACCAATCTGTCACTGAGGAGATGTGTGGAGAAGAGTCAAACTGGGTGCACCAGAATGTCACAGCATATGTCCTCAGCAAACCTCACTGTAATAAAGCTGAAGGTCACTATGTGATGCTTTAATCATATTTATACTCTGTACTTGAGTAGGCTACAGTACAGTATATTCCACTACTGCCAAAATCTCATCACTTTTACTGAAAAGACAGACTGGTTTACAGAAAGTTTATAATATAACAGTAGGCCTACAACATTTGTGTTTTGAATATACAGTGTGAACATATTTACTTTGCAAAAGAGCTTGCTTCATGACAATCAATTAGTATTTGCTAGTAAAATGACAGTTTGCAAGCTAACTAGCTAGTTTTCCTTTCCTGATAACTCCTTAAAACAAAATGCCAGGAGAGAATTAGCGGCACAGAATAAAGGGGAAACTGATCAAATCTAAAATGTTATATGTGATGTTACATTTGACCACTGGTTTTCTTTTGGAGGTCTTCCCTACAAGAAAGCCCATCAAAGTGAGAACAAAATGTAACTTAACGTCTACAGCGTGTGTGTGTATTTTACCCTGAGGCCAACTGTAAGCCCCATGTAAAATATTTAAAATATAAAACAAAGTATAACCAGCTCTGGTCGTCGTGTAACTTTCTTGTGTTTATAAAACGTTCATCTGCAACGTTTTTTCTGCCAACATGGTGAAAGTCAGCTGTAACGTTTCCACACAGATCCCAGAGCAGCCGGCTGCAGATCAGCCTGAGGAGCTTCCTCCACGCTTCACAGAGCGGAGACCTTATTCCTCACATTTTATCCCACTCGTTGTGATGTGACAGTTTGCTGGTCCGCTGCACACTCACTGTCACTGTGTATCGCTGCAGGCATGATGTATGCGCCACTGCCTGGGTGCTCGCTGTGATACAGTGCCGAGCATACAGTGTAAATCCCGTTTGATATTCACAGAGTTAACTGATTGTAACGTCCTGTTGACCCTCTGTGCTGGTGTGAGCTTATATAACGCCAGCTGTGTGTCTCTGCACTGAATTAATCTACATTTATTCTACATGGTGGAAGGAATTAGTCTGATGTTGCTTCTCTTCGGATAGAGTTAACACTGACAAACTGGATATATTCAGTATTATTAGATTACTATTCAGGCCTTAGTTTTGGTTCCTAAGGTGACACATTTCACAATAGGCTTACTAGGAAAATGGAAAACATCTACACGTACTACACTGGCACGAAAGCATTGTAGTTAAATAAGTTGGTGGAAGACTTCCAACCTGAAATTAAAAAACAATGCTTCGGCAAAAATAATTAAAACATATTTTTTTAATTATCAATCAATCAATCAATGTTTATTTATATAGCCCAATATCACAAATGTTACATTTGTCTCAGTGGAATTATCGAAGCCTCTGCTTTCTTTTCTGTTGTAAACAAAAAGTATAACCATGTATAACAGATAATAAGTAAATACAACTGGGTGTGTATGCTCCTACATTCATTCATGAACCTTGACATTTGCAAGGGTTGTGTTCGTTTCAGAATTTTCCAATTTTAACTGAAAATAAGGACTCACTTATAAAAAGTACAAAATATGTCTTCTGAATATACAGTATCAACATATTGTCCCCTTAGCAACTGAGCGAAAGAGCTTGCTAAGACAATCAAGTAGTATTTGCTAGTAAACAGTTTCCAAGCTAAGGTATCTTTTCCTTTCCTCATGAGAATAAAACACCAGAAGAGAATCAAGCCTATTCTGCAAGGGTGCATGGATACATTTAGCTGTGACAATATCTGGTGTGACTAGCCTGTTACACAGAGGAGAATAGCAAACCACAAGAAGACACAAACGAAGAAACCCTATATTCCTTTACCATGCTGGAACAGAATTTGAGACCTAAAAGGGTCAAACAAATGTTGGGAACTTCTGCATTCAGGGTAAAAAGTCGTTCTTTCTTACTGTCTTTCTCCCCATTTTCACCTACTTCTTTCTCTCTGTCCTCAGCACAAAAAGAACCTGTCCTCTTCCCCCCCCCTCACTGTCTTTCTCAGTGAACCAGTTGTATTAGTATGGAGTGAGCGAGCTGCTACCACTGCAGAGCGAGCTGGAGCCATTCATTACCATACTGCTCCCACACTGCAGAGGGCGAGAGACACTGATACATACAGAGAGGAAAAGAGAGAGAGAGAGAGAGAGAGAGAGAGAGAGAGAGAGAGAGAGAGAGGAGAGAGAGAGAGAGGAGAGAGAGAGAGAGAGAATTGTGCTGCAGAATGTGACACAGGTCACACCGCCATCATCTGTTATTTTTAGATCCATAATCCATACATCACTGTCAAATTAGTGCTTCGTCGGTCTCAATACTCTAAAGTAATCACGTCACGATGGAGGTTATCGATCGCCTTAACTTCACACTTTTCATATCACTACTGCTCATGTCTCTTTAAAATTGATGTCAACCATCCTGGTGAGATGATCGTCCTCTCTATGTTTGCCAACAGAGGGCGCTCAAAACACAGTAAGTGTTTAATAAACTACACTTAATGATAGATTTACAAAACATTATAGGAAATCCCGTTTTTGTTATCTACAGTCAGATGAAAGAATGTATCAGTTTCCTTTGTGTTCCTGCGCCTATTGCTTTCAAAGTTGTGGTTCCTACCTGGAACGCAGATGTCAAACCTGAACTGAATCACACATTGTAAAAGGTTAAGAATAAACGCCACCTCAAAGTGTGTTTGCTTAAGTCGTCAAAAAGAAATAAAGTTTGATATATCTTCTGCCTGTAAATTGAGCCCGAGCACGGAGTGCTAGGACCCATTAGTTACTTTCCACCATTTGTAATCTTCCAAAAATGGTGACCTCAGTTTCAAACCCTAACATTTTTCAATTTTAAAGCAATATATTGTATTTGTGTTGACGATCATTTCATCATCCGACAGAATTTTCTAAGGTATTACAAATTACATTTTTGATCGTAAACTTCTTTAAAGGAAAGAAAAACATTAACTTAGTCTCACTTTTTGTATTGTTTAAACATTTTTTGTATTTAAGTACTTCTTCCACCACTGGATACAAGGAGTATCTGGATACACATCGTACACACCGTGTTATCAACCATTACAGATGGATGGATGAGTAGTGCTGCTCTAACAGCTGTTATGTAAGAAACAAAATAATATAATAATTATGCTCAGTGCCTGTGTGTACAATCACGCTGTATCATTTCAAAATGTCAAAGAGCTTATGTAAGCACTGAATATGGCACTCCAGGTGTGTGTGTGTGTGTGTGTGTGTGTGTGTGTGTGTGTGTGTGTGTGTTTGAGTGTGTGTTTTAGTGTGTGAAAACCATGGTTTGATTCAGCTGTACTATATGATATACCACAATTTACTCAAAAATTAAGCTTGACATACTTGGTACCTTTGGAGAGTTTGGTCCCTCAATAAAATGTTAAATAAAGTTCTGTTGATTTGAACACGTTTGGGCAAAAATAATGTTTGAAAAGCTACATTAGCAGCATAATGAAATAAACATTTAGTGCTATATGCTGCAAAACATCTTAATTAATTTTAAATATTTAAAATCTGCTGATATTTACTGAAGATTTCAAATACAGCTTGAAATAGATTAAAAGGCAGAGACAGAACCCTTCATTTCCCATCATGCCTCCTCTGTCCTCGGATTACAGGCCACTCTCATCTGATTATAATCTCATTTCAATCTCATTAGTTCATCTAACGTCAGCCTGTCGCTGAATCACATGCACACACACAAGGAGGACACACACACACACACACACACACACACACACACACACACACACACACACACACACACACACACACACACACACACACACACACACACACACACACACACACACACACACACACACACACACACACACATCATATCAGTCATCACTGATTAACATTTGATGGATTTTTTTTTTTTTAAAAACTGCACATGCATTTATGTTTAGGTATCTTTTCAACATCTGGTTATGTGCAACAGATAGCAGCTAAATGAATGTTAGGGCTGCAACTCTATCTATGTATCCATCTATCTATCCATCTGAGTGAGAGATGCTGCACTTCAGTTTTTAGCAGCTCCAG